AGAAAATGAGAGTGAAAAAAGAATATTCGCTTGTAACAAGATAGAATAAAGAAGAGAGGATGGTTGCATTAGGTATGAGATAAAGGTTTTCTATGGAAAATGCAAGCCACATCCCACTTTTGAAATTTTACAGTTTAGGTGAGAGTAGCCTAGGAAATTGATAATGATATATTCTTTTGGTGCTCGTGTTAAGCACATTTCCGTTCTAGCTTCCTTTTGTCTCAGAATATATTTTGATTCCTTTGGTTTGCCTTTACCTCTAAAAGTTGCAAGCTTGCAAATATTCCAGTATCGAACTTTCACGAAGCTCTACCTTCTCACCGTACTTATCTACTTAAAAGTGTGCATATATGCAAATGAGAGCTCTGGAGTTGAGGGAAAATGTAAGTAAACATTGGAGTGAGACAATCGAACAGGTTTACTGAAAACAATGATAGCATTGCAAAATTCTAACTCCTTATTCCAGAACATAATATATACATTCAGATGTTCAGAAGATTACAACAACACAAACCAAAACTAAAGTCCATTGAACAAGTTTATGTCAACAATCGATACTATAAAAGTGAAGAGCATATAATTAAGCCAGGGGTATCTCATGTTGCTGGCGGTATCAATGGAGAAGGGAGGAAAGGATCATCACGAGGCAATAGAAGGCTAGGATTCACGGCTGAGAAGAAAATTAGTGCAAGTGTAACCAACACCGAGATTATGGAAATTATGAGCATTAGGGCATTTGAGATATCACCCTTTACTTCTTGAGTGTATTCGTTCGCTGCCAAGGCCAGCAAGGTTAGGGGGAAGGAATACGCCCACCACGCAATGTTGAAACGCTTCATCGATCTCTTGAACAAGGCTGGACGAGAAACCTACACTTATAGAATGAGACGCGAGTGTATTAGCATATAATGCCCTTGAAGAAAAGGGTTTGATAGAAATGTAAGCTATTATGATCACTAGGCAATGGAACTCAAAAAGTTTTATGCGCATCAACAGTGCTCCAACTAAGAAAGAAACTATGAAAGAGTATCTTTGTAAAGGCCCACATGATGGGTGGTAACAGATCAATTAGCGCATCTAGCAACAAAATAAAAAAATAACCCTCATCTCTACCCTGTGCTCCTCCAAAAACCACCACTAAAAAGTTCAAGAAAAGATACCCTCGTCTATGATCACTAATGAAATTGTAAGTTTCGTAATGATTTCGTTCTTCGGACATCACACAGATGTCTTATGTCGAACTTCTGTCTAGATGTTTGAGGAACAAAACTCTGCTACAAAATTTAATGGGTTCATTGACAGTCACAGGTGAAGGGTATATTTGTGAGCCCTTTTTTTTTCTTTTTTCTTTTTTGGTGCCCCCCTAAGAAACGGGATATAAATGAAGGGTCTCTTGTACTCTTATTCTAAGACAAGGTTGCACCTGTAGCATATATTCTTCCCCTAACCTAAGCTTGAGCCCCTAAGCATATTAAAATAAGGGTAAATAAACAAAACTAGTTACCAAGGAAGCAAAGAGGAAAAGTGACAGAAAGAAGAGCATCTTGCAAAGAAGATCAAACGACCCCGCAATCGAGCTCCAAGCAAGACTAGCCATACTCGGGGCAGCAAAGAAGAGAAAAAACACCGGCCTAAGCATAGCAGGCAAAGCCCCTCCTCCACTATACTCAAGTCTCTGATACAAAGTCACAAACAACACAAAATAATGTGCTATACCGAGAGCAAACATACACATTGCACTCTCTCTCCATCCCATCATCGCCGCAGCCCGCGCCCCCACCAAGTTCCCGATCACCGTTAAAAGACTTGTAGGATTAGCCACGGTTGATAAAAACCTCTTGCCTCTAGCAGTAAACCATTGTCCATAGATTTTGATGTCAAGGACGAGAATCGGAACGGAGGAGAGAAGGCAAGGTATAATGTAAAGTTTAGAGGAGGAACGTATAAAAGAAGCAGATTGGAGGAGTAAGAGGGAGGAGATGAAGGGCGCGAAAAGGTAATTTACACCGATATGATGAGAGAATTCTAAGCGGACAGAGGGATAACGAAGGATGCAACGAGATATGTAGAAGAGGGAAACAATAGTAAGGGAGAAGAATGCAAGGGACCAAATAAGGAGAAATGCGGCGTTTGGGAAAATGAGGTGGCCGGCTGTGGATTTGTTCAGGGTTTTCCAGAGGAGAGATTGAGCAGATAATGAAAGACTAATTCGGAAATATCCAGCGTGGAAACTAGTTAAGATGGAAATTTTGGACAAAGGAGCTTTCTTGAGTTCACCTCCGTTGGTCTGTCCATCTTCCAAGTCTACTGTTTTAGAAATGGAAGTGACAATAGGAATCAAGCCACCCTCTTCCATGAAAATGTGATTTCTCTTCCCCTTGTAGACTTTGCATATACATAAGCTCTCTATATATAGAGGACTGTCTAAAATGCTGTGCATGTGTGCGTGTTTCAGGTTAAGATTCAGTATTTGAACCTTTTTGTCCCGATGTAAGTGAGTGGGCACAAATACTTTGCAATTAACTATAGGACTTCGATCAACTTGGCTCTAATAATCATGTGCCATAATAATAATACTGCAAATAACTGTACTGGAAACTTTACATGTAACTAAATATTTAGAGAAGTGGATATACACATTCACAATAGGAGAAAAGAAACTCCACTAGATTACAATTACGCTTGATGACTGGATGATGATGCAATACACAGTAGTTACTTTCGGTCCAATATGTACTTGATTCTGTAGGAAAACATTAATGGCATTGTAACTTTCTGTTATATTGACTCTAAACATTTGGTTAATAATAATAATGATACCTTAAATAGAATTAGAAACTAATCCCCGGTATTATAGACATATTTACCACTAGGGGTGCTAAACCGTATCCGTATCCGATGAAATATCTGTAACCGTATTTGTTAGGATATGGATATGGTTACTCAAATATTTAACCTATAAGATATGATTATGGATATGGTTTCGTAGTGAAATATCCATAACTGTATTCGAAATTTCCGAATACATATTAGTCATATTGTTAAAATGATTTTAGTCTTTAGATTACGGATTTGAGGTTAATTTGGACGATCAAGATATCTAATATTAGCTTTTCAGATATAATGAACAAATTAATGAACTCTTTCGTATCACATGAACTTTTTTTTTCAACAGCATCTAATTTTCTCATATCCATTTTTATATCCGTATGCAGATCCGCTTATATATCCGCTTGTATATCCATATCCGTATCTGATTTTAGCAGATATGTGTTGTGCGTGGTGCGGAAGCGGGACAACCAAACGGGCGTGCTTCGAGAACCAAATCAAACAAACATCGAGATAAAGGCCAAACAAATCAAAACAACGGCACAAATCCAAACACAATAGTTTTACGTGGTTCGGCAAGTTGCCTACGTCCACGGAGCAAGAAGGGGATTGGGTTTTCACTAATAGAGAAGAAGAGTACAAACTGAGATTACAAAATGCTCAAACCAATCAACTAATCTCATCAACAAATATCTTAATCTCTCCAAATAAACCCTCAAACAATTGCTTAGAAAAACTCTCCTTTTTCTGTGCTCCAAATATCCCCAAACCAATCTTCAATCCAAGCCCAAAGAAACCCTAATTCGTATGTTGGTATTTATAGCAAACACCAAACCCAAACTGAACATGAAACTCAAACTGGATCCTGACCCGATTAGCGGGCGATCGCCCAAAGCTCGCGGTCAACCGCGATCCAGCGACAGAGACCAAAAAGTCCTACAGGTTCTCGCAGTCGACCGCGGCGGTCGACCGCGCCAAATCCAGACTCCTCCCAGAGTCTGTGCACGTTCGCAGCTCCAAAACAGTTCCCTGAGGTCTTCCAACACCTGTTCTTCACCAAACTTCTCGCGGTTTCTTCAATATGGATATGAATTTTCCTCACCAAGGTATAACCATATCGTTTCGTATTCGAAATGAGTAAGCAGATATGGATATGGTAAATATCATATCCGAGCCGTATCCGGACCGAATGCACCCGTATTTACCACACATGATCCCAAGCAAAGCCCCTCTTTTTCCTATAGAAGACATACATCATAGGTGAAAGAGAGGACTATGACCATAAATATGTTTTAAGTTCTTAATATTGATAAACATAATGTCATGAAACACAACACAGAAAATATTATAAGAAAATTTGCTTGCAAGACACTTGGTATACTTTATCAGCTCATGTCAGTGACCTAATTTCATTCGTCAGTGATGCATTATCCTTAATTCAACCCTACTGCATCATTATCTGGACAAAAGTTAAGTTGCGAAGCCTAATACCTAACAAATGCTTTTCTAAGAATATTTTTGTCCATGGTGATATGCTGTGCAGATTGGTATAAGCTCATAAACTTAACATAGAGTGAAGTGGAAACCACAATACAAGGCTGTGATTTCAAAGCTGGGAGAACTTTAAGCTGGAGTCGAAGAGGAAGGCAACACATCAACTTTCGGCACTGATACATGACATGTCAGACCATTTCCTCACCCTTCAATCCAAAAAATAAAGCTCAAAATCTTTGCATAATAGATAATGTAAATATAATCTATAATCACCATATTTTGTTCCCTAATTCAGTTGACTCACTTTATTCTTAATATATTAGTTCACCGTACGATTTCAGGCTATACCTAACAATCATGAATAAGAACGAGAATGCCTTGGTGCCATATTAGCTGGTTTGAACCTCAGTATTCATTTACAATGACTACAGCAACTTGGAACTATTCAACTTAATCCTCCTCTTAGTAAACCAGAGCAAAGAAGCGAGCCTCCGGTTGTACGTTATACTTCTCATTACAATTTTTTCCTTTTAAAAGGTAATGATTAATAGGCCCGTCTCTCTTAAGAATTGACTACCGCCATCACCAAGAAATGAATATCGCTCAGTGAATTGGAAGAAACAAGGAAAGTTGAGGATAGGAAAAGGTGGTTGCAGGAAGAGATGAAGGGAGAGAGCTAGAAACAAGGGGACATGATGCAGACTCAGGTGCAACCAAATTGGCCCCGGCTTATTGTTATAGCAAATTGATAGAGCTACGTCGAACAGGGCACATTTTATTGAAGCATAATGCAAAGCAAATACTAGTTTGCTATGTATATGCACTAAGGGCTTGTTTGAAAGGGGGGTAATGCGAGTAAAGGGAAGGTAGGAGACACCTTCACCTTATTTGGGAGTTTTTTGGGAGTTCGTTTGAGCTAGTTAATGAGGGGAAAGTTAAGGTAATGGAAGGGAAAAAAAAGTTTAGGCCCTCCGTTTCGGGTGTAATGGAGGGGAAAGTAAGGTAAGGTAACTCTTCAAAATAGAATATTGCACTAAGACAATTTTACCTCCATATCAAGATCAGATTCAAATGTATGAAATAACATGCAAGGTTGTTCACGTAAGTTTACACATATTCCCTTCTCTTTCCTTCACTTTATTAAACTTTCAAATCAGGGTGAAATAAGTTCACTTGCTTTGCCTTACTAAACTTCCAAACAAGTTCTGCATGTTCCATTTTCTTCCCTTAACTTATCATATGTTTCCTTAAGTTCCCTTCAATGTGTGCAAACCTAAATAAGTTCTAAGGATCTAATCACTTGGATTAAATCAATTGGATTACAAATGTACATGAGCCGAGAGGGACACCATGAGATGAGCATATCGTTGGTGTTACAAGATCAAATTTAGTCCCAAATAATTTTTTGGGATTTTTTGATGAGAGAATTATCCAAAAGTCGAGCTAGATCGTTCATAACTTAGATCAATCAAACATCCTGATTCTTTTCTATATTGCTTTTTCCCCACCATCGTAAAATACAACACCCAATAAACATACACACAGTTCCTTAGGGGGAGTTAGTAAATTAGGATATTTTCATGCAAAATGGAATAATTGTTAAAGTGGAATATTTTTTCGCTAATGGGATATTTTAGTGGGATAAATAGAAACAATTTTGTGAAGCAGGATTTGATAAAATAACGTGGGATAAATTTTTATAATCTTAAAATATATATTTATGCATTTTAAAGATATAAATACTATTTATATATTTTAAACTTACTATTATTGATTGATAATTGCTTACAAGAATGTTTTTATGTTTTGATAGTCACATAAATGCTTCATATAGAGTTTCAAATTTTTTTAGGTTGCGTTTGGATTCGGGGATTTGATTTTAAATTCCAGAATTGAATTCTGAAATTTAAAATCTAGAATTTCAAATTCAACTCCTTCGTTTGGGAAGCATCCAAATTTGAATTCCAGAATTCAATTTGAAATTCATGTTTGGCAAACTTTAGAATTTTAATTTTAAAATTTTTAATTGGGTTGTTTGCCAACTAGTAGAATTCTAATTTCTGAACTAAAATTGTAGCTCGAAGATAATTTAGAAATAAAATACTCAAATTACATAAGGTTTGCATCGAAATTGGTGAAAATAAATACCTCAAATAGTATATCACATATCCAACTAACTTGATATCTAGATAAAATACCTTAAAATCTCATATGCAGTAATGTCAGTAGTTGACCTAATAATCACCATAAAAATAACTGATATCATTCATCAATAAAACTTTGTAAACTCATCCACCACTAACCAAAATAATAAATAAAGTAGAAACTTTAAATATTGCATATAACAATTCAACAAACTAGAGATCTAAAATATCCAACAAATACAAACCAACAAAAGTTAATATTTCGTCATTACACAATGTCATGCTTAAGTTGCTCTCGCACTAGTTTCTGTAAGACTTTTACATCTGATTCAAATGAGAGTTTCTGTCTAATGCTTATACACTTTTACTCTGTATTTCTTTTATAGTTTTCTCCCCTCGGTTCAGAAAGTCTTGATTTGTGAGTTCTTGAATCACCTGAAACAATAACAAGAAGACCAATCAGCTCCATTCTTAAAGACCGTGCAGACTTCCAACTTCAGAAGAAGGGAATGGTGTTAGCTCCACAGAAGTTTGAGATGCTAATGGGATGTCAGTCTATAGAAGATACTATCAGTTCTCATTAAGCACAGTTTATGCAGCTCATATGTTTCAGTTTATGAAACTGATAAAGTACTGATAAAGTACAATGTTAAAACTAATTTATAAGATAAAATATCTGAAGATAATGTGAAGATAATGATTTTCCATTAGACCCCGGAACTGATAAAGTACAATGTTAAAACTAATTTGTTAGATAAAATGTATCACTTGAATACTTGGGTTGAGCATTTATAGGCCATGGAAAATGTATTTGTTAGATCAAGGTACACCAACTCTAAAACTTAGGATAAATAGTATTATATCAGTGCACAATAATAGAATAGTGAAAGACAATAAAGATGATATGCTAGCTT